TCCATACTGGCATAAAGCTGTTGATAAAGTGAACCTACGATGCCTTCTCCATTTCCCTACTGGCTGAATGGAGTCCAGATAGATAAGATTGGGCAGTTCCAGAGTGAGAACAACGTGGCAAGGAGAAACAGACGCGAAACCCTTACCCCATGGACCTGTGTTAAATCCCGTCCTTCCTTACACACATCGGCTTTTAGGCCAGTGTTCCCACGTCTACCTACGGACACGCATGATGGCAGGCACAATTCTCCTTTCCTGAATCCAGTTCCCAAATCAGACGGAACTCCAGATTCAGTTGAATTGCCACAAGGGACCAGTGGCGTTGCAATCAAGCATCGCCTAAATGCATAGTAATTTCATGACTGCCACGGTCAGCTCGTGGGTGTTTCCTTACAGCATTGAATACGTTGTGGTGGCTGACGCAGGAGGTTGACCATGGGGAGTGTCGGAGACAACGGTCAGGGAAGGGCTATGTAATGCATTGGTTTTTAGTTTAGAAGTTGGTTTTGGTAAAGGGTCACTTTGACTTGGCCATTGTACCTCGCCAAGTGGGCTGGCCTCCAGATTATGCTAGTAGTCCAAGTACCTTCCGTATGTCGACCATATACATACTGGCGGAGTGCTGTCTTCTCGCGTTCTCGGGGAAGTCTTGAGCCCCTAAGTAAGGGGTCTTTAGAAATCAAATCAAATCTCCTCTGGTAGTTTCACAGATTTAGCTGTTCATGGCAGATATCACCCTTTTGTATCGCTTATATTTGGTAACCGCTAACCGAGGTCCGGCTTTTCCTTCACTTGGAGACAGATGTGTAACCTACAAGGGTCGAAGGGGTGGCACAGCAAGACAATTACTTAGATGCGACTTCTATTCCCCCTAAACACCAGCCAGTTGCCTCTAAGGCAGGAAGGCAAATCGTATCCACCACAGTGCCCAAGTCACAACGCTGCCCAACGTTGCGGAGCTCTGCTGAGAACGTCGAAGTGGTTGCAAGCACAGCTTAAAGGCAAAGGAGGCCCGCTGCCGATACGATCTACACCGAGAAGACTAGCGCTGCCAACCAGACTGCACCATCACCCCACCTTGCATAACCACCCGGTGACAGACCACACAGAACATCCCGCACACCTCAGGACGCCAAATGCACAATAAAGCACGTCCTGCTTACAACCCACGAGTACTTGTCGGGGGGTAAGGCCCGACCCACCCAACACTCGCTTCGTGAGAAAGCCAAACATTGAGACCCCACTCGAGGGCCACAGATGACACCATAACAGCCCAAACCACAGAAACAAGACAGAAGAGCACTTGCAATAATGCAATAGCGTAAGGGACCGGCTAGTGACAGGTAAAACCTTTACAGTTATTGACAATAATTCAATTTTCCATGGACTCCTGCTTCTCATCCTCGCTGTGATGTTCAACAGCCTCCTGACGCGTTTCCTCAGTTTCCGACATGGAACGCGACCTAGACCTTGACTTTGATGCAGAACGTGACCGTCCAGCCGGTGATCCAGAGCGAGACCTACGTTCGGAGCCAGATCGAGATGGAGATCGCGAACGTTCACGCGAGCCCGATCTGGAACGGTCCCGAGAAGCTGATCGAGATCTCGCCTTACCAGCGATCGAGCCATCACCGTTCCTACTAGCAGAACAGCTGCGACGACCTGCAGATCGACGGTCACTGCGACGTGAAGTCGATCGATCCGAACGACGAGACCTTGATCTTGACCTAGACCCGGACTTCCGCGACTCATCCGATCGAGTGTGATCGCTGCGACGGGAGCGATCGCGATCAGAGCGTGAATGCCTGGAGGATGATCGCCGTCGACTGTCGGAACGAGACCTGTCCCTGCGTCGGGACCCTCGGCTCTTGGAGCGTCTAGAGCTCCTCCTACTCCTACTACGCCGCGACCCAGACCTTGAGCGATGGCGCGGCTTGTCAGCGTACACTTTCAGGCGCCGTTCGTAGAGTACATATCCGTCATATTTATCGATAGCAGCCTTCATGTCATTATAGGTTGCAAACTCAACAATGCTAAAGGGGGTTAGTCGAAAAGAACACATACCCCTCGTTGCGCACTTGCTTATGTGCGTCAGCATACGTGACTTCTCCTGCCTTTCTCATCATATCTTTCAAGTCCTGAAAACAGATGCTTGTCAGAAAAAAAGCATACGGAACTACAGGCAAGCCCATACTTTCGGGTGGAATTTCCAGAAGTCATGTCCACATTGCATTTTTAGAAAAAACACACGGGCTGCCTCATGCACCTAATATTTTGGTCTAGGTTGACTACGTGACCCACTTCGGAAGTGCCACTGCTTCCACAAGCACTAAAATACACCCCATCCCCTCGGTGGCTATGCGGTCTTTAATGGATTAAATTACCTAACAAGAACGAGCCGTGCCACGTTATCGACCAAGCCACCTGAATAGGAACCACATTCACTCGACCATACGACCTGAACGAGAATTCAGTGAACCGCCTTAGCGTCCTACGCGACCGCTGCCACGGCATCGAGGACAAACTGAATTTAAGATAGCCATCACATATTAAGTCAGAACGCATTTACGCACATCCAGGCAAAAACAAGACATGGTACCTACCTGCCAACTAACGCGAGATGAGAGATTTTCGACGATGACACGATAGTCGGTACGAGTTGGAGGCCCATAACGCCTACTTTCATAAAGCTTCAAGAACAAACGAACTTACGATTCCCGACGTCTACTACTCCCTCTTGCCCCTGGAGGCAGCCTGGCGTGTTCAACAACAATGCGCTCACCCCTGAGCTCTCTGCCATGGAGGTCATACACGGCATCATCGGCATCGCGTTCATCATCAAATTCGACGAAACCATACCCGGTTTTCAACACAATATCACGAAGACGCCCATATCCCCTGAAGAACCTCTCAATATCCCTCTCGCAACACCTTGCAGGTAAACGCCCAATGTAAACCCTCGACATAGCTCGCAGAAGTGAAAGATGGAACCGGAAGCGCCACACGTATAAACAAATGACGGAGGTGCAAATTACAACTGGTAATTACAAATGAAAAACTTAGATTGTTTAATTAAAAACTTTTCAGGAGCACGTTAATATTGTGCGTGCAAAGAAAATAGTACTGCAAGAACGTATCCTTTGGTGACTATGCAAAACATCCTGAACATAGCGATAAATGGCGTTTCTAAAGTAGTTAAGACTCAATACATTAAAAATGATGCGTTTGTAGTATATTTAGCTCACTTTAATACTACGTTGATGAACTTTGAAGTAAATTGATGCGTACACATGGGATCTAACTGGAAAATGCTGCTTTAATTCTTGCAAAATAATGTGATTTTCAAAGCAACTTATTTATTTCTTAAGATGGTAAATGTCGAATACTAAAGACCTAAGAAAATCAGAGGTGTGACTGTAATTTTAAGTAAAACTACCTCCATTACCTCCATTTCCCATGCAGTTTCATCGTCCTCCCAAATTTCGAGTACTTGGATTAATATTGCGGCAGTATTTAATAGCATCGCTACACGTAAAGTAGGCTTAACTCTCCGAGACTCCCCTGTAGGCAAAAGAAGAAAAACTGCTCTCCAGAGTATATATTCATACATGTAGTACATATGTACAGCATACAATGTGGCCCTGAGGCTGCCGACATGACATAGAGGCCAGCCCGCCTGGTAAAGCTACAATGGCTAATACACAAAGTGAACCTTTACCATAACCGAGAGCTAAACATGCAACGTATTACATCAATTCGTATTAGTGCGGCAGATGGCTTACTACCAACGCAGGGAAGGGCTAGAGGGCCACATCGTCCAGCGCATCTTAAAACACATTGAAACAAAATATTATTTCACGACAATAGCCTTTGTCCCATGTTTTAATGATCAAACTCCTCTCTTCAGCCACAATATGCCTCTTCGGGGAATAGCAAATGTGACTCACATATAGTATGTCTAGGGAGCCAAAAATGTGACCGGAAAGTCTAATAGAATATATGTAGCGTCCCGAGACTCCCTGAAGACGAAAGAAGACAAGTACTCTGGCAGAATATATATATTCAGCACGGAGAAGGTGTCTGGGCTATTGGCATGGCCCAAAAGGCCAGCCCACCCAGCGAGGTACAAAGAGGCTAATTCAAAGTACAAAAGTGGCGCCTCACCAGAACCGAGGGATAAACCACTATCGTATTACATATATTTATGTACAATATACAGATAGAGGTAGGCTACTGGCACGTCCCAGTGGCCAGCCCACCTAACGAAGGTATAATGACCAAGGCATAAAATGACCCTTTATTATAGCCATGAGTTGAACGAACAACCGACATTCTGCAGTTCTTTAAGTTCATGAAATCTTCCTGAACAATCGCTCACCGTAATTTTAGTGCAAACTAGGTGTGGAGAATCCTGAGGTCCTCTCTTCCTGTTCTGGTGTTTAACCAATGGGTTAAGATGTGGGGAGCCTATAGGATGTCAGCGTTTGAAAGGGATTGGAGTTCGCTTTTGGCCTCGTGAGCAAAAGCTTTCCGCTGATTTGCGCGGCTGGTGGCACATTAAAGCAAGTAATTACACTAGAGCAAAGCATCCAAATTTTTAATGATGGTTTAGCACTAGTACCAAATAACAATAAGCTCATTTATAACCAAGATTGCGCTTTTGACTAATTCTAAATCCGATCTTATAGTGGCTTTGACCAACGAAAGTTTAACGAAGTTTACGGATCCTTGTGGTAGCTCAATTATGACCCTCCACTTTTTAAAATGGCTTAAAATCTAAACTTTTTAAGGCCAGGGACAAATAAATATCGCCTTCTATTTTATACGGTATTCAAGTACCAGCCGGATTTTTACTGATTTTTCTATGCACCGTACACTGACGTATAAATTCTTTTGCTCATTTTGGGTCAAAATAATTCTGTTTGGAGATGTTTACCTATCCGCACATTTTTATGAGAGTACTTAAATTAATGCCGAATCCTTGTGCTCAAACCGCGTAAGCGGTGCAATTAGTTGTATAGCATTTGATCGGTAT